GTGCCTAGAAAATAACCCATCTAATAAAACAATTTTGATGCTGATGTCCAATACAACTATACACACACTACCTATATTTTCTTCAGATTTTCATTGTAAAATTGGAATGGCCTCAACATGAAAAGAAGATTCAGTCTAAAGTGTAAAACTCTTGGGAATGCACTGACTTTTAATGTGATTTTTAATTTGAGGCCAGCTTGGGCAACAGAGCAAGACCCCATTTCTAAATAAATAAAAGTATTTAAAAAAATTTTTTTTGAGACACGGTCTTGTCAAATTGCTGAGGCTAGCCTTGAACTTGACATCCTCCTCCCTCAGCTTCCCAAGTAACTGAGATTTACAGGCATACACCACTGTACCTGGCTTCTAGCTTATTTATAAAAAGGATTCTGACCAATTTCTGTACAGTGCAAGTTTCCTCTAGCTGGCTTGTCTCTATAGGTACATGTAAAAATTTTTACTATAAAGATGACTGGAAAAGTGAGTTTGAAATATGAAAATCTTTGCTAGGGTCAAGATCTAAAATGTTAGTTTATGTATGTGTGAAATTAGTCATTCCATCCCCTGAAAATCTGGGTTTTCTTTCTCAGCCCCAACATTCTTGCCTGAAAAATTGAACTTCAAATGATCCTCACTTTCTTCAAACCCAGGGAAAACCTCACAGAATTTTTCCCACTTTCCCATAAAGTATTCCGAAGATGAGAATCACCAGGCCTTGAATATAGAGATTTTCTTTTCTTCTTGGGAATCTAAAAGTATTACTGAGTAAAAAGAAAACACAGGACATAGGCATCCATGAAAAATCACTGTGTGTTCCCTTAGACAACCTAACACTTTAAAGAAATGTCTTGAGGCTTGCAGTGTTTTTGGTGTATCTAGAATCACTAGAGCTTGTCATGAAATTCTTACCTTCCTGCCAGTCTTTTAGCTTAATTTCACAGCAAATGAGTGGAGCCCCAACTCTGCCAGTAGTATAGTCAGTAACTATGAAAGAAAAGCAACGAATATTAGCATACTACATTTCAGATGTATGTATTGAGAACCCAGAAACCCAGCATCTGAAAGATGACAAAGGAGAGGCTGTAGTGACAGGAATGCAAAAGGTGGTCATTTTTCAGTGTTTCAACTCTATTTCAACAGTGTAATTTTGCCTTTCAAGATTATATTTTAGATAATTACATATACAAATCTCTTTGATGAGGATTCCTGCTCTCTCACTCATCGGCCATGTAACTTCGATAAGTTGCTTAACCTGTTTATGCTTCCATTTCTCCATCTATTAAACAGAGATAGTAATTGGGCCTACCTCATAAAGGGATAATTTGTGAAGATTAAATGAGATAGTATGTGGATAAGTGCTTAACCCTTCTTTGCACAAACTAAGTGTTCAATAAATGTTAGTCTCTGTTAAACATAATGATCATGCCGATAATATCCTTTGGAATTTGTGATTACTGTTAGCAATAATCACGTATATATTTATAGACAACTTATTATGCATCCACCACTATATTAAATATTTTGAAGGAAACACATAAAGGGTAAGGAAATCCTACCCTCAGAAACCTTATAAAGGAAGGAAGAAATACACATGAAACGATTGAGAGAACATTTAAATACTAAACTGCATGGTACTAATGGTAAAAATACAATAGTCCCTTAGAGACTTGAAATATCAACATAAGATGAAGTAGTTTGGGAAGACTTTTATTAAAGAGTTGGGCATTAAAGGATGGCTATGAGCAGCTAACAAAAGGGCACTCAACAGAAAGAAAGAGATCATTTAAAAATTTCCTATACCCCACTGTTTTTCAACCTGGGGTAACTTTGTCCCACAAGGGATATGTGGCAAGGTTTAGAGATACGTTTTATTGTCACAGCTGGGCTAAGCAAGTTGCTACTAGTACTGACTGCTAAACATCTTTCAATATACAGGAGAGCACTCAACAATAATTGTCTGTTTCAAAGGTTGAGAAATCCTGCCTTGGGGTATTGAAAATAAGATGTGAAAATACAGAATTTAAGACAGGAATGTTTATTTAAGGGGAACATACTAGTGATACTTCATTCTATGAGTACAGTTCTCCAAAGGAGTGATAATTTACAAAAAGAAGATTAAAGGACCAGGATGATAAAATTTTGAAGAGTGAAAATATGGCATAAATATTTACCTGGCTTAAAATTAAAGGGAACAAGGGTACACATATACTCTTAAACAAACATTCACAAAACTAAAACAATGTAGGCATCCACTGAATCTGATATTATTTAAGAGATATTATAAAGAAATCGTGGTTTCCAAAGGTAATTCAAATGAATTTTATTAGTAGTGACTAATATAGAATGATTTGCCACATTAACAATGCTTACCTTCAGTAACTGTCCCAGCACCACATGATTCTGTCAGTCCATAACCCTGACCAATGGGGCAACAGAAGCAGACATTCATGAATCGGTGTGTCTGAGGAGACAATGGTGCCCCACCTGACAGCATCATACGGACATTCCCTCCCAGCAGAGCCTTCACTTTTTTAAAGAGTAACCTGAAGAGATAAATGATTTTAATACACAAATATATTATTCTTGGTGACACACTAATTCATAAACTCTGGAAAAGATTTCTCAACTATGGTTGAACATGCAAATTTTAGACGCATGATGGTAATAAGATATTAATAAAGAAACAACTATTACACCTTAAAAAAAATTCCAGCAAAGCTCCTAAACACCCATCCTGAGAATATACAGTATCAGGAAACTGCTCTGACATACAGTGAATAAAAGAAAATGATGTAACAGGAAAAAATATAGTTATCTTGGAAGCAGTTAGTCACCTATTTTATCTTCCTTCAAACGAAATATGCTTCCCCATCCCTACACCCAGTACCACAATTAAAATAACTGTTATATTCATATACTTGCTATACTATATTATGAATACAATAAAACAGAAAACTCTATGAAAAATAAATCTTGAAGATCACTTTTAAGCCAGAACTGACACTTTTTATAAACTCAAGTGTTTTGACTTAAATGTCTATTTTTCTTCACAAGACCCAATTTTATAATTAAATCTTAAATATTTACTTATTAAAATTTATTAAATTGCCAAGTTCAGAGTTCAGACTCCTGTGCTTGCTGTGTAAATACTGAGGATAAAAGAGAAATTCAGCCTTAAGATTATGGTGGTAATAGTGATACTAAATTAACTTGCCATTTACTTTTTCATATTCCAGATTTAAACACACACTCACACATCCAAACACATATATTGCAGGTGCAATGGCATGGACTCATATTCCCAGCTGCTTAAGAGGTTGAGGCAGAAAGATTGCCTGAGCCCAGGAGTTTGAGGCCAGCATGTGGGAAACAAGGAAGGACTCTATCTCAAAAAAAAAAAATAAATAAAGGCTCCAACCACAGGGACTATGAAATGTACTTACAGATTACAAAGAGGTGCATCATATCCCTTTTTGATCTGCTCCAATTTGTAGTCATACCCTATCTTGAATAGCGTTTTCTGAATATAATTCATTTCTTGAACTTTACTCATAACATTCTTATAAATTCTATCCATGATTTCCTAAAAAGTAAACAAAACATTTAATAATCTGAAAAGAATTACACTAACACTGGTACAGTTTATAAATTTATTTGTGAAATCTTAGGTATATCTCTAGGATAATGGACATATTTGTTTCATTATAGAATTAATTTTACTTACATGTTCACTCGTTCAAAAAGACTAATGATAATACATATATCAAAATAATACGTTGGACTCCATACATACATATAATTGACAATCAAAAATAAAAATTTCATTTAAAATAACATAAAGAACAAGTATAGGGGTTTCTTCAGTTCTATACCCTAAGTTCATCTAACATTTTAAGAAATGTTAACTAAAGTACAGAGAATTCACTCAGCTCTCACAGAAATATTTACTTATTATCAGATAGCATTGAAATACCCAACTATGTTGAAACTAATCCTAATATTTTTATCTTTTAACTATGACCTTGTGACTTGCAGCATGATAGTTGGTGTTACAATTTCTTAAAAATCTTATGTCTCTGTAATTTAGGCATTCCTATTCCATTTTAATAAAGAAAATATAACAAAAAAGAGTAACATTCTTACAGCTATGTGGAAAATTAGAGGTAGGACAAGATTTAGAATATAAAATTCCCAGGTTAACAGGTATAACACAAAGAAAAAAATCCTAATCATTAAATGATGTCTTCTTGAAATTACTTAGCACAAATTAATAAAAATTATTGTAAAAATTAATAAAAATATTGTACAAAGCACACCTGCTTATAAATACTTGCTTCTAAATATTTCAAGTGTCAATCATCAGTATAAATTAAGTTCTTCTACAAGGAATAACTTTATGGATGGTTATTTCAATGTTTGAATAGAGTCAATCACAAATGAAGTCAGCAGAACCATTCCTTAAAAGGTTGTTTTCTCCATTTCTACAAAAGGAATCAATGATTGTATAATTGAAATATTTCTCTAGGTCTGTAACTGAGAAATCCCAATATTTAAATAAGTTTAAAATCCTATAACTATCCCTATTAAAAAACATATGGGTTCCTAAAATGTGCACACACAAAAGCAAGTGCCTGGGAGTAAGACAGATGTATGAGAACCACTTCCATTGTTTTTTTTTTTTTCAGTACTAGATACTAATCATGGGTGTGGAAAGGCCTCAGTGAGTAAGTAACACTATAGAGTTGCAACAAGTTGGCAGGATTTACTCTTAGCTCATCAAATCACCCTTTATCTCAAACTAACATTACATGATGTTCCATTGAGTCACTGCTTAGAAGAAGTAGTGATTTATTCTGAATTATCACATTGTGAATGTTAACAGTACTAAATAAATCTTTTATTCTCACCCAGGAATGAAACAAACTCAAAAAACAACATCTATCAAAAACTGTTCTTGGGCTGGGGATGTAGCTTAGTGGTAGAGCTTGCCTTGTATGCGTGAGGCTCTGGATTCGATCTCCAGTACTACAAAAGAATAATAATAATGACAACAAAATAGTTCTCAAGAAGGAAATTCTTTTTTTAAAAAAAGAGCCTATTTGTAGAGGAGTGGAAAAAAACTAAGGGAATGCGCAAGTTTTGAAGTGTCAATGGACTAGTAACACGGAAGACTATTCAGTATCTTAGGCTTGAAGAAGTAAGAGAAGGACAGTTATCACTGGAACCTGGATAAGACTGTAGCCATGGAAAAGAGCTGGTTACAGCTATTCGAAAAGGGACTACCCAACAGGTGCTTGACAACTGACAAACTCTCAAACCAGCGGCGAAGAAACTGAGGTAAGAAATGTACAGATTTGGTGCTCTCTTCCTACTCTCATTTCATGAATACTTCTAATTAGCTGAACCCCATCAGAAATTATAAGGCAATGAAGCCCTGGTTGGTCATCCATAGAAGTTAGCCCTCCAACATATAAAGTAAGGCAAGGAAGAAAGGGCAATTGGAAATTAGAGGATAAATAGCCTATCTGCAAACTCCTGCTTATCCTCCTAAAATCAGGCCTGACTTGATACCTTGGCCTTCCCCTCCCTACACTGAGATTCATGAGGGAGTCCTGGACTTTAGGTAGTCAAGCCAATATATTGTTTCCCAAAACAAAATACAAAACTATCCTAAATATATTTGACAGTCATAGTGGTTAGAAGATTTTTTAATCAGACTGGTAGAGTTCAAGTTTTGATTCTACCAAATATTAAATTTCATTCTTTATAATAAAAAAAGGGTGATAATAGGGCCTACCCAGCAGAATCTTAAGGAGGATTAACACAGTAAGAACTTCACTTGCTGTTCTTAGCATCATTTCATGATGTCTTTAATCAGAAATCTCTCATATTTTGAGAACACTGAATCCTACAGTTCTTCTAAGTAAAAAGACAAAGGCTTCTCTGACAGATTTGAATCTTTGGTTATTTTGTAATTTTGAATTAGAAACTAAAAAGACCATATATCTTCCATCTGTGATACTTAGAAAAACTTGAACATTTCATTATCTATTCTCAGACTTCTCATGTAAAAAAGTAATGCTGTGAAAGATATTAAAGTAAGATTTAAAATCCAATCATAATATAAGCAGTAGCAATATACAGTCTCCCTGGGGTTTCCAAAGTACAAAAGTGCTAGAAGATATTGTACACAAATTGGAAAGAATGTATTAGATGTTGCAAAACTTATCATTCCAAAGTTATAAAAAGCAAGATCTTGCTTTTTTAAAGGCAATATTTCACATAAGGATTTTGAATAATTCATTTTTTTTCCTATGGGAGCTATCTCAAAGTAACAGTTGTCCTTTATCACATAAAAAGGTCAGGAGGCTTGCATCTTTGACTCAGCTCTGTCACTAATCAGCCCTATAAAATTGGAAATGCTGCCCCAGTTCTCTAGGGCAGCCCAGTGTTTCCTTGTTCCTTTTCTTTTTCATTTTTTTAAGTTGTAGATGGACACAATTTATTTATTCTTATGTGGTGCTGAGAGTCGAACCCAGTGCCTCACATGTGCTAGGCAAGCACTCTACCACTGAGCTACAGCCCCAGACCTCCTTGTTCCATTTCTTAAATTAAAAGATTAAACAGGATTATCTTTAGAGTTTATCCTATCTTAAGATATTATGACCAATTATCAAACTAGGTAGTTGAAACAAAGTCATTTTCATCACTCAAATTTCAAGGATCCGTAAACACTAACAGACATGGATTTCAAAAGCTTGCCATTTCATCTTGCCAATATATCTAAGACTTTAAGGAATGCATTTCAATAAAGTAAAATTATTTTGAAATGTATGCATATATCTAAGAGTATTATATTTTACAAAGACAAAGTATAAGCAAGAAATTATACAAGGGATCCTCTTCTATTCATATTCATATATGGTACTTACTGGAACAGCAGCCATAAGTGTAGGCTTCAGTACAGTACAGTCCCCTTTGCTTCCCTTTTTGATTTTGCTGGACTACAATAAAGAAAATATAATCATGATCAGGGAAACCGACCTTAGCAAAAAATGTTCTAACTCAAGTATTAATAACAAAGACAGAGCTACACAAGGAATTTGTTCTTCTACTGCTCTAAAAAGCCAAAGTGTAAGCAATCTAGTGCTTCATCCTGAAGATTATGGCTGCTAGCATGTCTCAGCCTTCTATAGAGGAGAAACTCTGATTCGGAAGGAAGAATGAGAAGTTTTGGGGAATCAAAGATTCTTATTAATAATGTACAATCAAAATATAGCACAAACTGCATTTTTGTACATTTTCCAAAAAAAGTCAATTAAAGTAAATTTAACAATAAAACAAAATCAAAGGCAACTTTCTTTGATTAATGAATAAGCAAGGACACATTTCAAAGTCATCAGTATGAATATCAACTGACATTCAGAAATCCTAATTGGATAATATTCTGCTCAGTAAAATAGGAAGACAATGCCAATGGCCAAGTTGGAGAGATGTGTGTGTATATAAATATATATATAAATGTGTATTTCTCTTCCTGCCTCCTTCCCCTCCTTTCTTCTTTTATCCATACATACTATTTGGGATTAGTAACATCAGATCAATAGTTAGAAAATTTGATAAAATTACCCACCAAAATACATTAAAAATAAGAAGCTCCTGAAATGCAGTTTATTATGCAAGTTTAGATGGCTAATAGAGAGAAGAAGATAACCAACTCTTAAGAAGCCATGTGACCCACAAGAACCACCAGCTTGACCATACATAAGGTTCTGCTGGTAAAACTAAATTGATTTTTCTCCTGCTTTTCTTTAATACAGATAAAGGATATTTTTTTAAAAAACTCCTATGTCATATGTATGTGCAAGTGTGTGCCCATTTGTGAGTGGAAATTTGTAGAGACACATGCACACCATGCAGGGGAAAACCAATTTGTAGAGAGAAAATTAGCTCTTCAGTCCTTCAAGTAGAAACTGCCCCTCATGTGTTACTGACCAGTTGTTACCATAGAAAGATGTTCCAGATAAGCAGGAGTCACAGGGAGCCATTCCTTGTTTTCTTTTTCTTTCTTTTTTATTTGACACATCATTTTATATTTTATGTGCTGAGGATGGAACCCAGTGTCCATGCATGCAAGGCAAGTGCTCTACCACTGAGCCACAACCCTAGCCCCCTCATGTTTTCTTTATTATTCATAGTAATACAGGTTGAGTAGCCCTTATTAGAAATGAAAGAAAGAAAGAAGGAAATCCTCAGGACAAAAAAATGTCTGATATAAAATTTTCAGGTTTTGGAATGTGTGTACACATGCACATGCATGCACATCCTCACACATTATATACAAGCATGCATATATATATTATGAAATACCTTAGGATGTGACCCCAGTCTAAACACAAAATTTATTTGCATCTCATACACACCTTACTACATATTGTCTGAAGGGAATTTTATACAATAGTTTCAGTGCTCCTGTGTTCTGATAGTGACTTGTTATATGAGATCAGGTATGGAATATTCCACTTGTGGTATCATGTCAACTCTCAAAAAGTTTTGCATTTTGGAGCATTCTGGATTCCAGATTTTCGGGTTGGGGTGCCCAACCTGTATTTTCAGTTCATTTGTCTTATTACCATCACAGTAACCCCAGTTATGACAACATCACTATCATTTGCTAGCTTCAAATGTGGTGTCTCTAATCTCTACTTGAGGATGATTCCTAAAATTTAGATTTCTATAAGATTCAGAATTTTTGGGGCTAGGGATATAGCTCAGTGCTGGAGCGTTTGTCTTCCACATTTCAGGCACTGGGTTCAATCCTTAGCACCACATAAAAATAAATCAATAAAATAAAGGTATTGTGTTCATTCTACAACTAAAAAAAGAGATTCATTATCTTTCAGTAAAGTTCATTTACAAAGTAGGAGTGAATTTATCTAAAAGGCTTCTAGTGTACTAGAGCTTTGCCTAATAGACAGCAAGAATTAAGTCAGACCAGCAATAGATCCAACTATTTTTCCTTCTCCACAATGAGGCTATTGTTCTTAGAAAGACAGTAAAAAAGGGGGGTGGGGAATGGTGCTAGTCTAGGCTTCTGAACTTCCCCAAAGGGGAAAAAACATACCCAAATCTTATGGAAATGTTTTCACATTTTTTAATAACTTTATTTTATTCATTTTTTTTAATGTGTTGTTGAGGATTGAACCCAGTGCCTCACCCATGCTAGGCAAACACTCTACCACTGAGCCACAACCCCAGAATCATGTTTTCACATTTTAATAAGGTCTCTGAACATAAGAAATTCCCACTAGAATCTCAAAACAAAATCATCACAAATGTTTCTAAAATGTTTCCCATAATTTAAGCCCTGTATATACACAGGCCTACTCTGACTTTACTAAATCAAGTTTTATTAGTTTATTTGATAGTTTAGTTATCCTATTACTATTTTCGAAAATTTTAAAGGTTAATTTGGGGCTGAGTATTAGAGTTAAATAAAATACAGCAGCACCCCCTCTTACAAACAGGTTGTATCCTCCAAAGTACAAAGTTGGTAGTTAGTTGGAACAGAACTCTTTTTCATAGCAAAAACCACTTTAAAAGGAAACTGAATTATCTTTGTGGGGTGATAATGACTAAGAGGAAACAGGGAAATCCTACAATGTTGAGAACACTTTTTTTTTCTTGCTCTGGATGGTAATGATGAGAAATCTACATGTTGTGTACATTAAATTTAATCAAGTAATACACTTAATATTTGTGCACCTTAAGTTATACATCAAAGCAAAAAACAAAACACAGATAAAGGTGGTTAGAATCCCAAATAAATCTGAAAAAAAATCTATTTAATTTTTTTACCTTACTACTATACAAACCTACTAATCTCCCTAAACAGGAATTTCTATAAAAAAGTTAAAAGTAATACAATCTCTATTAGCACCATCAGACCCCAAATAATAGGCACTGTTGGCCAGAGATCTAAAAATAACTGTTGGGTCCTCAGGAGTGTCAAAGTCACACACAGAGTCAAGTCATTCCTATACTTACTTTATCTTTCAGCACCCTGAAATTCACAATGTTCTTAGTAGCTATTTTTTCCTATGCCTGGTTGAGTCTTTTCTATCACAACTATTCCAAAGAAGGCATATAACAGAACTGTGGACAATAGATGTGCTTAAAAGACATGAGTGAACCATACCCATTGTTGGGTTTGTTGCCATGAATAACAGAGAAGGAGAACCCTGACTCAGTATACTAAGCCAAGGGCTGTCCTTGGAGATGCTGCAGTACTGTCCAATAAGAAGTTTCTGCATGGACGAAAATAATGTGTATCTATT